GCCTTTCAATAGAAAAGGCGGTGGCCACGCTGACAGTGGCGTCTAAACAGACCCTCTTTCCCTCAAACAATGACTCCACCAGTCCCCACAAGTGGGCAAAGGGAACCCAAGGGACGGGGACTGGGGCAAGACCCGTAAGGCCCCAGGGGGTGAAGGAAAATCCAAGGGGTGGTAGGAGAGTCCCTGGACCTGACTGTACTGAAGTACCCTAGAAACAGAAGTGAACACCTGTGGAGAACCAACCTTTCCCTAAAATCCTGGTACCTATTCATATTTCATATTAATTAATAATTTCCTGGTAACCTTTTTACTTTCATTATGTTCTGACTTGTTTATACATTTTTAAATTTATTTTACTCAAGTATAAATGTGAAAACTATGATTGAAAAAATAAATATGAATGTAGCTCAAACTTACCATGGGTTAAGGCATCTCCTTAACCAATTCTACCTCAAACCTAGTTTTGAAGTGTTTTTCTTATAATTTAATGTATAATTTTCTTTAGAGTGTATATAAAAAAAAATTACATTTATTTACCTATATTTTTATAAACTTTTGTATATCTTAAAAATCAGTTCTTATTTCATATTCATTTTAAAAAAGTTTCCTTTAAACTTGCTTGCTTATAAAATGAAGGGGGAGATGTAGGGAGTAGGTTTTGGAGACAATGTTGTGGTTTATGTTTTATGTTAAGTTCCTGTATTATGTTATTGTACTGCTCCCCTTCATTGTACCCCTCTTTTCCCTGTGCCCTCGAACCCTGTGTTTCTCTTGGCCAGTTGGTGCTGCATTGCAGTACCAACCTTATATGGCCATTTTTTCCTCATATAAACCTGTTCCTCCCCTTGTTCTCCCTATCTGGTCCTAGTTTACATACTCTGCCCTTGCTCCTCCCCAGTTACTCCCCTTGTTCCAGCAAGTTCTGCTCCTGCCCTATAAAAGGCAGGAGTCCTGTTAAGAAAGTTGTTCCATTTTGCAGCCAACTTGGAAGTGTCCGAACCCTCTTTCCTATGGGGCCCTCGGGGACGCTGAGGGCCTGGTTTCCCACATGGGTTGGGTTGTGATCAGTCAGTGCTTTGGGGAATGCTCTGTTCTGGTGGAACGTTGCCCTGTCAGCTTTAGCCAAGCTCCCTTATTTTCCAAAGTTAGCCAGTAACAGTGTGGTTTTTGAGCTCCTGAGAAACCGTGTGTAGCATCTTCTCCCTTGTGGTGTCTCTCAAGGTATTAAAAGAATGGAAGGCCCTTTTCAAATAACTGGAGAGTGGAAATTTTTGGTGCCTTCTATACTTTTTAAAGTAAAAGCCTTTGATGAGCTCGTAGCTCAAACCTGGGGTGTTACAGTCACCATCCCTGGAAGTGTTCAGAAAACACTGAGCTGTGGCACTTGGGGACACGGTTCAGTGGTGAAGATGCCAGTGTTGGGTTAATGGTTGGACTCTGTGATCTCAGAGGTCTTTTCCAACCATAACAATTCTGTGATTCTGTGGAGACTCAACCACTTCCCTGGACATTCTGTTCTAATGCTTGGCAAGCTTTAGCCATGCCTTTGGTGCTGCAGCCAAGGAACAGAGCAGTGATTTTCACAGTGTTCCTGGATCACAGGGTGTCCAAAGCCAAGGACATTTCCATCAGCACCTTGTCCTTCTGCAGATCAGAGTCACCTGAAGCCTCCAGGCCCTCCATGGTGGTAGAGACCCCCAGGCAGCAAAGCCCTGTCCTGCCAGGCTGCACAGCCCAGCCCTGTGTCTCTCTGGCCTGGGCACAGCAGGGTTTGCTCTCCTTGGGGCACCTCAGTCCCTCTGCCATTGCCATCTGCCCCCACCCCAGCAGGCTCTGAAGCAAAGCACGGCTGAGGCCAGCACAGCTCTGCTCTGACAGAGAGAACCTGCAGTCAGGAAAGGGACAAAGTCTTGTTTATCCAGCCTGAGAAAGAATGGGCTCAAGGACCTCCTGTATTCCTGGGCACTTTCATGACCCTGTGTATCCCACCCCCCTCCCAGCAGCATGTCTGGGCCCTCCCTGATGTCTCTGCTGTCCCCCAGCTCTGGCTGGTGCCATGTGCACTTGGCCTTCTTGGCTTTGATGCTGAGCCCCTGTGCCACAGGACATCCCTGACAGAGCCCAGGCCCTTCTGCTGGGGGTCCCTGCAGAGCTGAGCAGATCCAGGTCACCTCCCATTGCTCTGCCAACCCCTTGGGGCTGCTCTGGGCCCTGCAGGTCCTTGCCCTGCTCCCAAGGGCTGTGGGGGTGCTTCATGGTCAGAGCTTGGGGTTTAGAGCTCAGGGTTGGGATTAGGCAGAACTGTGGGAGGTTTGTTGTTCTGCTGGCAGTGTCTGGTTCATGATTAGGGTTTGGGGCTGGATTGGGATTAAAGCTTGGCTTTTCACACTAACAATGCAGGTTTGGGATTGGGGTGGGCATTAGAGGACAAATAAGAGTCTGGAGTTCTGAATTTGGGCTGTGCCTTTAAGGTCAGGCTGAGGTTGGGATTAGAGCAGTGGATTCTTTTCAGTGGGAGGGGCAGCACTTTTAGGTTGGGTCTTGAGGTTACAGAGATGGTAAAGGTCCATCAGGAATATTTGCACAGTCAGTGTTTCAGCACCCTCAGCATTCCCTGAACCTGGTTTTACCTCATCAAAATCTTTCCTCTCTGTTGACCAAGCCCCTCTTTCCTTCCCCAAATATCCAATCCTTTTTGTCCCAGTTCCTCCTGATCTCCCCCAAAGTTTCATCTGGGTGGGCTCAGCTTTGTGATGACACTGTGCAACCTCATGGAACCAAGGGGCCATTGTGGCACTGCAGGGCCTCATGGAAACAAAACAAATTACAGGCTTGTCCAGGTGCTGAGAGGGATTCAGAAGGGAGGCAGCAGTGATTTCTCCCTACAGACCCATAACTCCAGTGGTCTCTCCCAGCAGTCCATGACAGTGCTGAGCATTTTCCCCCGTGCCTCCCTGCCCTGAAGGTTTCTGGCCATCAGGCTGTAGCTGAGGGGCTTGGGCAGGGCCATGAGGAGGGGGTAGAACAAGGGCTGTGTCCAACTCTCCCTGTGTTGGGCTGTGCTGGGCCAGGAGGAGGAGGCTGCAGCAAACAGTGGCACTGGAGAGGTGAGAGGAGCAGGTGGAGAGATCTTGTGGCTGCCCACGCTGGGCAGGAGCTGCCCTAGGATGGCAGCTCTGAAGGACTCCCAGGATGTCCCTGGGAACAGGAGGGGAAGACTGGATCTAAAAATCAGGCTGGGAATGCAAAGAGCAGGAGTGTGGTGGTGTCACTGCAGGAGCGTTCCAGCCCTGCAGCAAGGGCACAGAAGAAGTGACCCAGGACATCCTGGTCCCAAAACGTGTCTGGGACAAGCAGGAAATGGTGACTGTAGAGGACAGAAATGCCCCGAGCCAGGGTGCAGCTCTGCTGGAGACAACTCTGCCAGTGCATGGGTCCTGCAGAGAGCAGGGCTGGCAAAGAGCCCAGTGCTGGGCATGGGATGGGGCCACCAGCAGAAAACACTCTGGACATGCCAAAGGTGCAGGAAATGGCCCTGCCAGTGCTGGGAGCAGAGACTGTGCTGTCCCCAGTCAGGGGACACTCAGGGTGGTGGAGATGAAGCAGCTCCACATACCCTTTAGGGACAACTCCATTGGTGAGATCTCACTGTCCTAGTCCCTGCTTTCCTGCTGGGCAGGGAAAGGGAGGGGCCAGAAGGCAGGGCAGTGACAGAGCAGACCTGCTGAAGTGTCCTCAGGGCAAAGCAAACATGGACTTCTGACTTGGTCACTTGATGCCCCTCCATGGAGGGACAACCAACCTCTTGCAGGTGGGATGAGAGGCCAGGGCTGGCAAGGGGGTTGCAGGGGCTGCTCTGTGCCAATGGCCCTGGGGCACCTGCCCAGGCTGTGCATGGAACAAAGACACAGCCCAGCCCCTGCTCTGCTGGGCCCTCAGGGCTGTGCCAGGAGCTCTGGCTGTGCCAGGACACTGCTGTGTGCCCCCACCCTGCACACTCCCACTCTGAACTGGGCACTGGCGTTTGCTTTGCCAGGGCATTCCTGGAGCACGTTGCTGAAAGGGAGTGTGGAGGGAGAGCCTGAAGCCTTCCTGGCCTGCCCTCAGGAGATGCCCTTTGCTGCTGGAGCTGCTGGTGTGGAGCCCAGCTCTGTGCCAGCAGTGCCCAGGGCCTGTCCCTGCCTGTGATGCCAGCAGGGACACGCAGCAGGACTGTGCCCAAGCTGCCAGAGCACTCAGGCCTTGCAGCCACAGCAGGGCTGGGAAGGACAGTGTGGAGCTGGAAAGAGCAAGTGTGGAGGGAGCAAGTGCCATTGTCCCTGGCTGTGCTGCTGTGCTGGGAGTCTCTTCCCCTGCAGCTCCAGAGAAGGGCTGAGGAAGCATCTTGGACACAGAGGTCAGGGCAGGGAACTTTATTTCATTCAAATGGACAGATATAATGACTGCTGAAAGCCCTTGGGTTACAGCAGACGAGTAGATACCTATGTAGTAATAGCATGGGTAAAGACATTTTTATGGAAAAATCATAATAAATAAAGTTCAAAATCAAAGCCAAGAAAACCAAAAAGCAAACAAAATGAAAACAATAAAAAAAAAAGAATGCACCAAAACCTCCACCTACACATGACAGAAAGGAGTTTAGGCTTGTAATGAGTTACTTTATCAACAATATGGAGGAAAAGGTTCAGTCACCATTTTCCTGAGAGCTTCCTTGAGCTCCTCATTCCTCAGGCTGTAGATGATGGGGTTCAGTGCTGGAGGAAGCCCTGAGGACAGAACTGACACAATCAGATCCAGGGATAGGGAGGAGATGGAGGGAGGTTTCAGGTAGGCAAATGCTGCAGTGCTGATAAACAGGGAGACCACGGCCAGGTGAGGGAGGCACGTGGAAAAGGCTTTGTGACATCCCTGCTCAGAGGGATCCTCAGCACAGCCCTGAAGATGTGCACACAGGAGAAAACAATGAAAACAAAACAGGCAAACCCTAAACAGCCACTAACCACAGTGATCCCAATTTCCCTGAGGTATGTGCCTGAGCAGGAGAGCTTGAGGATGTGTGGGATCTCAGAGAAGAACTGGCCCAGGGCATTGCCCTGGCACAGGGCCAGGGAAAATGTCTTGGCTGGGAGCAGCAGAGCAGTGAGAAACCCAGAGGCCCAGGCAGCTGCTGCCATGTGGGCACAAGCTCTGCTGCCCAGCAGGGTCCCGTAGTGCAGGGCTTTGCAGATGGCAACATAGCAGTCGTAGCACGTGATGGTGAGGAGGGAAAACTGTGCTGAGATGAGAAAGGTACAGAGAAAAAGCTGTGCAGCACATCCCTGGTAGGAGATGGTTGTGGTGTCCCAGAGGGAGCTGTGCATGGCTTTGGGCACAGTGGTGCAGGTGCAGCCCAGGTCTGTGAGGGAGAGGTGCAGCAGGAAGAAGTCCCTGGGGGTGTGCAGGTGCTGGTCGCAGGCTGTGGGGCTGAGGATGAGGCCGTTGCCCAGGAGGGCAGCCAGGGAGATGCCCAGGAAGAGCCAGAAGTGCAGGAGCTGCAGCTGCCGCCTGTCTGCCAATGCCAGGAGGAGGAACTGGGCCATGGAGCTGCTGTTGGGCATTGGCTGCCTCTGGATATTCCTGTCCCAGGGCCTCTGCCCACGGGCTCTTGAATGCAGCCCCACTCTGCAGAGCTGGCAGGGGAAGGGACCTGTGCTGGTGCTCAGCTCTGTCCTGTGAAACCCCTGCCAGTGTGGAAGGGCCTGTCAGCATCTGCACCCCCAGTGCTCATGCATGGCAGTTGTAAAGGCAGGGTAAGAGTTCTGGGGGTTTTACAGCTCCCCCCATATCTGCCCTGGTGACTATTCTGGGATGTCAGAAACGTCATCATTTCTGCTGCCTTCAGGGCAACAAAGGGAGTTGTGTGAGGTAAAGGGATGAGTGGGGAGGGAGGGGACGTCACTCTTTTGTGTTCCAGGATTCTCTGGGCTTTCACTTTCTCACTTGGAGGATGATCACACCCAGTGTTTCCCTCATAAAACACCAGGTACTAATGAAAGCAGATGGACCCACCACAGACCATCAAATGTCTGTCCCTTTCTCAAGGTCTCAGCCCCACATTGGTAGCCAAAGACTCTCCTGGCTCATTTCACCAACCCACCAGCATTTTCTACATTGTTGAATTCTGTGCTTCTCCCTGGGGCTTTAAGATAACACAAAGATAACAGAAAGGTGTTCATCCTGGAGGGAAGCTCCCAGCATGAGGCCCGAGATGGGCACTGGGCAATGAGAGCTGCCCTGCAGCCAGCCCTGTCAGCAGCTCTCAGAGCAGGCTCCGCTCCCCTGCGCTCTTGTGGCTTCTGGGCCTTGCAGCCCAGTGCAAGCTGTCCCTGCTCTGAAATCTGACGCCAGGGCATCTCCCTCAGCCGCCACCCCCACCTCCCTTCACTGTGGGCAGGGGGCCACTTTTTCCAAAGCTCACCTTTCCTCCTTCCTACCAGGAGAGCAACTACAGGCGTGAGTACTTCATCTCCCTCTTCAAGGACTACGTGGTGATGTGGAACGAGAACAAATTGAAGACGTCTGCACGGAGTGCACTGGTGCCGCTGCTCATTCGCACCAGTGACCGGTCCCCCAGAGTGGCCAAGGTACAGATTTGAAGGCTGAGCACTGACAGAGAGAGGGGTGGGCTGACCCGCCCTGTGGGGCCCAGGCTGTTCACAGGGCAAGGGCTGCTGGCAGTGGGCAGCCGGCGCCCAGTGCAACCCTTGGGAAAGGTGCCTGCAGAACCAGCGCGAGCAGGGACGGAGAGGCGGGCACGGCCATTTCCAACACCTGCCCTAGGGCTCCAGTAGGGCTCAACAGAAGCCTGTGGCCACAAAGCCTGAGCAGCCTCATCCCCACAGGCTTCTCTGCTGTCCCTGGCACGTTTCAGAGGCCAGGGCTTGGAGCCTCAGGCGCTGTCCTCCAGGGCTGTCCTCACAAGGCCCCTAGACGCTTTGGTGAGGGCATGTCCCAGCTTCCTAAGGGCAGCATAACCCCAGGAAGAAAGCCAAGAGCTCTGCTTTGCCAGCCATAGTGCTATCTCACACCTTCTGCTTCTCTGCAGGCCGCCAGGGAAGCGCTCCTTGCTGCAGCAAAGCTCCTCAAGTGGAGGGAGCTTCAACACCTGGTGAAGAAACAGCAGATGTGGAGGATTGGCGAGTGCTTGGTAAGGCCGAGCGCCAACGTGCAGGCTGGCTGAGGCTTGTCTCACCCCCAGAGCCCGCGCTGTGCCCCCAGAGCCCAGAGCCTGCAGCTGCACCCCAGTGCCTGTGCTCCAAGAAGAGAGCCCCAAGGGCTCCTGTCCAGGCCCCTCTCCCTTCCCTGCACCCAGTGGGAGAGAGGGCTCTGGGCAACACTGAGGGCTGGCAGGAGGGACGGCTGCAGGCAATGGGAGGGCTCTGTGACATGCCCATGTCCTTGTGCTCTCTCCAGCTGGGCAAGGACAGCAGCAGGGCTGAAGAGTACCTGCGTCAGGGCCTGACGTACCTCAAGGACCCTGAGGCCACCGTGCGAGAGGCGGCCATCCGGTTCATCGGTGAGCCCCAGCCCCTGGGGTCCCCCTTTGGGCAACCTGGGCCCCATCCCTGCTCCTGCTCGGACTGGGAGCTGCAGCCCTGGGGCTGCCCGAGCCCCAGCAGCCGCATGCTGGGCCTCGGCCTCCCTCCGCCCCTCCTGCCCACGCAGCTGGGCTTGGTGGCCACTTAGCTGAGTTCCACCCTCCTGAGCTCCTGGTGGCTCCCGGGGTCATCCTTGCTCAGGGGGAGGTCGGCCGGGCCAGGGGCCGCGCTGCTGGGAGCCCGCTGGGGAGCAGGGGCTGACGGAGCTTTGTGCCTAGGAGTGGCCACGCGGCACCTGAGGAACCGAAGCGCACAGACACTGGATGAGATCTGCAGTGGTGAGTGGGGAACATGGGCTGGAGGGGACGTCTGGGGGTCTCTGCAGACACTGGCGTTCACCTCGGCTCTGTTTCTTTTGCTCACAGCCCTTCGGCCCTTGCAGAGAGACGGCAACGAATTCGTCTCTTGCCTGGCAAAACAGACCATCTGCATCCTGGCAGCTTTAGGACCAACACCAAGACCTCGATTCGGTCCAGAAGCATTGCTCTTCTGGCACCGCCGTCCCCATCCATGAGCACCTTCCAACACTCCCAGCCTCCCAGGCACTGTCCGAGACACCTGACCTGGTGAGCAGGGACAGTCGTGTTGGCATCCAGGGTTCTGGGGCTGTGGGTAAGGCGGTGGCTTGGCGTGGGCTGGCAGGCAGGTGTTGGGGTGACTGCTGCAAACTGCCTTGCTGCCACGTTGGGGCCTGGTGGCTGCCTGGGGAGCTTTGCAGGCGTGCATCTTATGACAAAAAAGAAACCCTGTCCGTGGCACAGCCAGGAAAACTGGAGCTCCTGGTGCCACACGTGATGGAGCTCCTGTGTCTTGGCAGTGAAGACTCCTGGAAAAGAGGCTGTGATGGGCCCTAAAAACCGGATGCGTCAAAATCTGAAGAAGACAAAAGCCAGCCCCGCCACTGAGGATCTGGTGGAGAACCTCCTGCGCCCCCTCAACATGGTAAGGTGGATGTGGGAGCGTGAGCCCTGAGGTGGGCACTGGGCATTGAGAGCTGCCCTGCAGCCCAGCCCTGTCAGCAGGTCTCGGAGCAGGCTCTGCTCCCCCGGGCTCTTGTGGCCCAGTGCAAGTTGCCTGTCCCTGCTCTGGAATCTATCGCCAGGCCATCCTTCTCAGCCACCACCCCCACCTCCCTTTACTACGGGCAGGGGGCCGCTTTTTCCAAAACTCACCTTTCCTCCTTCCTACCAGGAGAGTGCGAGTTCTTTCTCTGCCTCTTCAAAGACCACCGGGGCTCAGTGGTGAGGAGGAAGCAGAAGAAGTTGGAAGACGTCTCTACGGAGCGCCATGACTTAGCCTGGGCAGAGGAGGGTGCTGCCCAGGAAAGCAGGTCTTCAGCAGAAGGCTCCAAGAAGCCTGCTGGACACTGCAGAGAGGTAACGGGGAGGCATGACCTCAGGAAGAAGGTAAGTGCCGTCTGAGCCGCAGGAGCCACCAGTCCCTCTGGGCTGCTCTCTGGCCGTGCTGCGGGTAAAGATACACAGGTATCCCCAGAAAAGCCAAGGCAGCGGAAGGAATTCGGTAAGTTTATTAGGAGGGCCAGAACCCCAGAAACCTAACAGTGTGGTTTGCGCCTCACAGGCAATGGCTCATCAGAGTGCTCGGTCCACTTCTGCCGCAGATATGAGGTGGTAGAGAGGATCCAGGTGAGGGGACACTCGGTGCTCTGGGGAAGGGGGCAAGGCCCCCTGGCACTGGCACCCTGTGAGGGCTGGGCTCAGGTGGCACCGGGTGCTGGAAGCTGCCGGGTCCCAGCTCACCTGTGCTCTGTCCTGTATGGATCTGCCTGCCGTGGACAGCTTCACAGAGGATCGGGGCGTGCTGGTGGACGCCTGCGAGGAGGAGATGAAGCACACAGAAGTGCGGAAACTCGCCCCGTTTGCCACTGAAGTAAGAAACTCTGTCCTTCGTACGGGCAGGAGAACTGGAGCTCCTGGTGCCAAACATGATGGAGCTGCTCTGTCTTGGCACTGAAGACTCCTGAAAAGATGTTGGGATGGTCCCTAAAAACCGGATGCGTCAGAATCTGAAGACAAAGGCTAGCCAGTCAGACGGCCCTGCCCAGAAGAACTTACTTCCTGAAAGAAGTTTTTTCATTTTCTGTTTTTTAAAACTGAGTGTGAGAAATATCTCTAATTTTAAGTTTGGAAACGGCCAAATAAAGTAAAATAAAGAACTTTAATTACAACTCATTGGATGCATCGACCTCGTGGCCAAGTCCAAGCACAGGGGAAGGGACAAGTCCTTTTAAAGTTTCTTGATTTACATCCCCATTCCCTCGCTCCTCCCATGGCGAGCCCCACTCCTTTTCTTCTTAAAAAGGTGATACAGCCCCTCTTCTTGGATTCGATTGGGTCTCTCAGGGCCGGCTCCCACTTCCCTTTGCCAGTCCATTGGTTGTCTTAACTGACCTCTCGGGTTGTTTCCCTGTCCCGGCCGTGTGGTCCCTCGGCAATGAGGCCTGGCTGGTCCCGCTGTCTTACAGGCTCCCCGGCTCGCCTCTATGCTGTAACTAGAGGCAACAGCAACAAGTAATGGCAAACAGCAGGAAGGAGCTGCAGGCAGAAGCAGCAGTAGCTGCAAGCAGACTTTTAGTCCCCGACAACTAAATGACTCTCCAACCTCCCAAACAATACAGCTTCCAGGCATCTTGACGCGAGTCAACCCTGGAAACTCCTGCTTGGAATAAAACCGCCTCATTTATTTATTTCTTACATGAGTTCCTTCCTCAATGTTGCCTCTCGCATGAGGGGCTGAGAAGGGATAAACCGGGAAAGAAGTGTACAAAATACACTCAAAATACAGTGAACTTTCTAATCTGGTGGCTGGAAGACGTGATCTCCAGGATAGTTTCCAAACTAGGAAAGAGATTGCCTCTTCCACTGTAGCAATGCATCTCATCTGTCATGACTGTCATGAAGTTTCTCTCCCTACAGATGCTCTAAGGATTATTGGATGTC